GGCCAGCCGTTTTGCACTCCAGCAAGTAATAGAATTATCCGTCGGCTCATCGATCATGTCGACCACTGTAAGCATCATCCACGACTAGTTTTGACACGGAGGACTCAATGGGTCGCCGAAGAATATTCCATCGATTTCCCAACATTGCATTTTGAACAACAAAGGAATAGTCCATTCCCACGAATTACTACTACGTAGTACGTACGTACGATTTAACCCTGAAAACGACGCGGACCATCCACACAATAGAACTGCAGCTGATCTCGATCAACCACACCTCGTTTAGTTGCCCCACCATACACTCAACTTGACAACACCCGACGAAATTATACTCGAAGAAGATTGCGATGATGATGAGCTATGTCATTCCGGCGAAATATCGTCAAAATTACATATCACACAGTATAGGATATACAGTGCTGGCAACATGTATAAGACCACCATAAAATGGAGACCGACAAGCATATTAGAGGGATAATGCTATGAATTCAAGTCGTTTGAGCTCCATAAAGACCATGTGAAGACATCTTGATGACGTTTGAGTTGCTTAACATCAATACTTCAGCCGCTATTTAAATAAAGGCGCCATATCAGAAAAACCACTTGGCAATAAGTATAATACCACCCCGCCGTCAGTGCGTTTTCATGACTAAAATCCACGTTTTTCTTGTTCTAGCAACTAAGTAAATCAATTTCCCACCCTTAGTTCATTTCAAATGTCATCATAGCATGCCAGCGGGACCGAAACTCACCGAGGGAATGCAAGGCATGGTTTTGGCCCTGAACTCTGCCGGGAAAAGCCAAAAGGAGATCGAACAACTTATAGGTCGATCTCGTACTGCCATTGCATCGTTTTAAGAGATCCCAATACATACAATGATAATAAACGCACTAGAAGACCACTCAAAGCAACGCCATACGACGTTCGTCGGCTGATCCGAACCGCGTCAAACGCATTCTTGAGCTCGCGTGAGATCGTCGAAACATGCCAACTCCCAATCAAAGCCCGCCGAGCACGGCAATTGCTCACAAGAGTTCGTCACTTCAAGTACGTCAAATCCAAGGCGTCGCCAGTGCTCTCGAAAAGGCACAAAGAAGATCGTCTGTCGTGGTGCCGCGAGAAAATCACTTGGAGTGACGAGATGTGGTCGTGTGTTGTTTTCAGCAATGAAAAAAAGTTTATCCTGGACGGCCCTGACGGTATGAAGCACTACTGGCATGATTGAGGAATGACGAAGCCATTTTTTCGAAGCGCCAGTTCGGTGGTGGAAGTGTCATGGTGTGGGCTGCTTTCAGCTCAAAAGCGAAGACCAGTCTGGCCTTTTTGGATGGCAAACAGGACAGCTCTGCGTATATTTTCGCGCTGGCTGACCATTTGTTTCCCTTTATAGACTACCATTTTAGCCATGACTGTTTTTTTCAACATGGCAATGCCCCAATCCATGTGCCCAAGGAGACGAAGTTGTTTTTGGCGGAGACCATGCTGCCGATTTTGGACTGGCCTGCAAAGTCTCCGGACCTAAATCCAATCGAGAATATGTGGGGTATTTTGGCACGATCCGTTTACGGCCACGGAAAGCAGTATGCCTCAAAACGAGACCTCATTGCGGCTATTTTGAAGGCCTGCGATAACATTGGCCAAGAAGTCATTGACAAGTTGTTTTGCTCAATGCAAAGGCGTTGCGTGAGTGTCTTGGAACTCAAGAGTGGCAAAACGAAGTATTGAACGTCGATATTTTATGAATCAACATGCATTTATGATGATTTTTTCTTGTGGTCTTATACTTATTGCCAGCACAAAAATCATCATGTTAGCAAATCGTGAGGTCTGGAGTGTGGATTGAAGCAGTTCACATTCTAATCAGGTTCTTTTTCGAATACAATTGATCGAATGATGACGTAGAGCCTTACAATGCCGTGATTATGTACTAACAATTGAATAATGGGGTGGTCTAAAATTATTGCCAGCACTGTATACGAAATGAATTTTAATGTCCTCTCACTTTGAATTTTGACATGCCGACACCGGTCCTCCCGAAGCGCGTCCAGCGGTGTTATAGCATTGACGCTCGCATAAAGCTGATGCATATTTACGAGAACTCGACGCTTTCTGCAAGTTTGCGATTTCGAAGGGATACCTCGTTCAACATGGCTGACGTGGCTCAGTTCGAAAGACCACTACACGTCAACCCAGCGCAATAAGCTACGCCCCATCCTTGGAGGCCAAGTTAGACCCGTCGCAATGAAATTTACCGACGATTTGATACATTTCACTCGATTTGTACGAGATAAAGGACACCACCGCACCACTGCCCACATGGTCACGTGGATAAGACTCATCAACAAACCTGGGACTACCAGTACTTAGGGAGAAGGCTTCAGCAGGCACTAGCTACGCTGGACTCCTCGGATTGTGCCAACACCATGTTCACCATCATGAATTTTCTCAGTGAGCTCATTGCCTCTCCAAATTTAAACAAACCGAGCTGCTTGAGAAGAAGGAAATGTTTGCCTCAACATTTTGGTTCAATGACAGCCACGCCCCATTGCGCGACATCATTCATGTCGACGAGACGGCAGTGTATTATGACATGCCGCCACGCCGTATATGGTGTGAGATTGGCGTCGACAGTAAAAGTGACTCCTCGGAAAAGCATTCCGATCGTATGACGGCGGTGTTGGCCGTATGTGCTGATGGTGGTTTGTGATAAATATTGTAAATTTGATATAATTAGTAAAATAGGGACGAAACTGTCGATCCTCTTTATCGTGCGTGGGGTGATCGGTGGCCAATTTGAAACCGAGATGTCGACCTATCCTATGGGTCACCTCTACGTCGTTCAAGTAATGGAGTACATGGACGAAGACGTGGGGCTCTTCTACCAAAGGGAGCTCCTTAAGTTCGAGCTCATCAGACCGATGACGCTGCTGGTGGATAACTTGTCTGCCCATGTGTCCGTTCCAGCACGACGGGCCGAGTTGTACTCGTTTATGGAGCCCCAGTCAGCAAACACCACGAGCCTTTGTCAACCACTTGATGTCCGGGTGATGGGCTCTCTAAAGACAAAGATGCGGGCTCTCTGGTTACGTGAAGAGATAGTGACTTCAGCCGCGGAAAAGCGCATGAAAATGATAGAACGCACCATCGCGACATGGGAATATTGTGAATAAACGATCAGGAAGTCGTTCATGAAAGCCTTGCTCACAGTGGCAACCGAACGTAACGAGCTATGAGCACAGTCAGTGTTAAACTTATGTGTCTTAATGAAATAGATGGATTTGCCTTTCTCATTATACTACCCGAGCGCCCATAGCCATGACAGCACCTCCATGTTTTGTGACAGTGTCACAGCACTGTCACAAAACATGGAGAGCAATGTCTGACTTGAACTCCCTCGAGCTACGGGGTCAAGGGGCATGGACGAGGGTAGATCGCCACTCCGTCGAGTTGTTGGGAGGAATCGGGCGATGATGAACACGTGGCCTTATGTGCTGGTACTGTCTAAGTCGAGGTCGTCGTGTCGGGCTTGTGACAACTGCGCTGCAGAAGGCGACTGAGGCCACATACTCCTTGAACATTCGCTTGGCTACCTTAGTCAATTCTTGTTCGATCCGCGCGGGCGTCGATGCGGGTGCCCCACGCTTCTCCGGTGACGGCGGGTGTTGCCTGGGGCTTTGCTGCGATGCACGGCAGGCGGACGACCTGATGAAAAAGGACCTTCGCGGCAATCCAACAAACTGCGACAATCGCGTTCGAACGACCCACGATGGGCTTTGCCTGGCTCAACGCCGCAATAGTGTCGAAGTACTGATTGATGAGCGCAGCTTCTTGGGGGACAGTGGCAGCGCGGCCTTCAATACGAAGGCCGACGGTCGCAAGCAACTTGCACAAGCACTCGAGCGATTATTTGACGTGCTTGTCAATGCTACCAAATAGATGATGAATGCATTCGTGCATCGTGCGCGACGGCAACAGGTCTTGCTTGAAGAGTTCGCCAATTGAACGAATGTGTCCGAGTGTCGCGCGTTGAGCAAGAGCTGCTTCTCCGCTTCCGCGGCACTGCCATCTTCTGTCGCTGCATCCAAGATCGTCGACGCCACCGTGGATTGTAGCTCCGACATTTCAAATTCCTTTTGGCACGTGCGAGCAGAAGCGACCAAAACATCTCACCTTGTGCATCAAAAATGGGACGATCTACATCGTCATATTTTACACTAGAAATACAAAGTACATCGTCAATGGACACGCCTTTTCACCCCCGAAGGAAGTACGAAGGAAGTACGACAGCCCTGTTAGGGACGCAATCGAAATGCCTTTGTTGAATATCCCTGCTCATGTCCTAAATGGTAAACGAATCAATGGCAACCTTCATCTATTCTTTGTGCATTGTCAATTCTTGAGCAACACACACCTGGACAGACGCTCTCAAAATGGTGTATCGTGGGCTGCACTGCCTCATCGAGTCCTGGAGCATCGAGTATCCACTTGGACTCCAAATAGGCGTCCCCGAGTATATTGTGGACATGCGTTGAAGCAACGAATGGCTCCAACGCATGGAGAGTCCAAGATGGGCAATCGATGCCCATCCTGGACTCTCGTAGCGCCAACTCGTGGACAATCCATTGAGTTATGACGCACGATGTGATGCATGTGCACCGTACGACCAGCAGTGTGCCCGCGTCATTCTTATTTATCTTTGCGTCGCCCGCGCCAAGATCTTTCGCGAGTGGCTCGCGGGCAAGGAAGGCGTTCCAACAGCATCCTTGTCGACAAAATGATAGACACGACTAGGACGCTTTGCAAGACCTTCCACCTCCTGTCTGACAGCGGTAAGATGTCAGCCCACAACATTGTCTCGTTTGCTTGACGACCTAGACGACGCTGGGAGAAATCCATGCAGGGAATCAAACGCATGCATGATGGTGCCGATAGCACAAATTGAATTCGAGGCATTAAGTATCGCTCTCTCAATCAACGACTTTCAGCGACATACGGTGGGACCTACGTTTGTGACGCGGACGTCAAAGGACACTTTTCCATTCTTTCTTAACGTTACTGTGCACACCCCTAAGAATTCATTGTGGCGACACGCATCGGTCAGGACAGCTTGGAATAACGATGCATTTCCACGCATGTCCCCACGGAAATGGTCAAGCTCTTCGTTTCCCCACACGAAATCGTTGTTCTTCCGCGCGGCATCGCTTCACCATTGACGTCTATGGTCCCATCCGCAGCTACGTCTTGGAAGTGTAAATTTATCCTCCCGGACCTCGGCCCAATTGGTGCAAACGATTTGGCCAACCCCCGCGACTTTGAGCACCCCACCGCGTGGTCAGAAATAGTAAAAGATGATTCTATATATTCACGAAGACTGCGACTGCAACTACACAGTCGTGACCAAGTTTGCTGGCGAGATGTTCTCGTCCTTCAACGTCGTGGCACGAGAACTACGTGCCGTTCAAATACAACTTGGACCACTTTTGCACGATGAACGCAGTCAACTACGATCACCCGACCCGTCCATCTACACCGTTTTGACGTGTCAAACAGACGAACCAGGCTGCGCCGTCGCTGCCTTCGTCATTTTCCCGCCCCGATGGATGGTTCAAGAGAAAACCTTCCGTCCTCCTTACTACAGTACCATCGTGTCACGGGGTTTTATGAAAAGTTAAAGGGTAGGCGCGGCGCGGGCAAACAAGGAGACTCAAACTCAGGTGCGGAGTTCGAGGCAAAATGTGAAGTCGAGTTAGTTAAAGGTGTGGTTGTAGCTGTAGTTCTAAAGATCTAAGTTCTACTG